TTGAGAAAATTTAGGTTTGTCTGGGAAGCCAATCCTGATCAATTTGACATCAAAGAGGATTTTCCTTCATCTGAACATCCTGGCAATGAGACCGAGGAAATTCCCTACATCTTTGGTTTGGCTCTACGAAACTGACATATAATGATTCTGAGTATCCCTGTTACTACTTTGAAAGTGTAGGATAACAAAAGATAATGTTCAAGTTTTCCACTTTCATGATTCAGTGTCTAAAAATACACCTTTGTGAAGCTTCTTAGATTCTTCTTCTTCTAAGAATGTTCTCCTCATAGCATGATTTGCTTCTGGTTCACGTAAGTGCCATATAGCAAACTCCCTTTTGAGGAAGACATACACTATGTTCAGTATCAGTTGTATAGGTTGTGTGATAGGATGGATTAACACCCCATTCCCAATAAAGAGTATATCTGGGATGTTGTTATGCAGATTGCATAATTTCCTTGTAAAAATCTTTAGTTTATATCACTCATGTTAAAACTTTGATTCCAGATGGACATTTCCAAATATGTCATCTATATACATGCCTTAAAATACCATTCTGATCTCTTCTTCCTTCTCCCAGCAAATGAATTATTTATAATTCTTTTCATAAAGACATAATCAGCTAAAGAGCTTTCTTAAAGGTGGCAAAACTAAAAAGCAAATTAGTTTTATGATTTCAAAGAATTAGCTGACTATTCCTTTATTATAATGTTTTTAGACTACTTTAGAACTCTCAAAGGAAGAATAATGGTCCAGTGTAGTGCTATATGGTCTCCTTTATGGACAGAGTAAGCCATTTAATTTTGACAGATTCAATTGTTCTTGATTTTCTGCCATGGATATCCATCACAGAAATAGAAGTTGTGATTAATGGCATTTTGTCCACTAACCAAAAGCAATTATAATGTATACTTGGAAAATATCCCAAAATGGAGGATAATAAAGTTTAAAAAAAGTTCAACAACTGAAAAATCAATATCAGTTGGGGAGAAAAAGCTATAAAGGTACTTTTAGGGGAGATGGAAAAGAAATTTTTAGATTTTCATTAATTTTAAGGAGAAAGTGGAAGAAAAAATCTTTAAGAGAATTCATGGGAAATATTTTTTCCCATTTTAAAATGAAAATTATACCAGGAGTTTACTTATCAATGTATTTTCTCAAAACATGTAGAAGATTCTCTTAAATTAAATAGATCATTGCAAATGTTTTATTAGTTAAAGAGAACTTTCCGCCCCCATTTATTTTCTGCCATCAAGATAAAAATTCTGGAATGGTGGTGGCAACAATGCAGAGAGAGTACTATAGACTTAGAAAAACAAACAGTGGTATCCAAAAATAGATTCTATGTTTTAGTAATTACAGGGAGTCAGATTTCTTCCCATCATATATAGACGTACGAGGAAAGCAAAACCGAGAAGAGGGGTGATGTGTTAAAATGGTCATAAAGCAGACTTGCAAACAGACTAGCTTTTGGGAATATTCTTGCAAAAATTATCAGTCTAGAAAAATTTGCTAGTTGGATATATGTGGAAAAGGCTAAGCAAAATGGAAATATCTCTGACTAGAGCATACATTCACCCATTAATTAATTCAATTATGCATTTATCTATTTAATCAACAAATATTTATTGAGTTTCAATAACTGGAAAGGCACCGAGGTTAAGCAAATAAGAAACAACCTCTGCCCTCATAGAGGGGAAGAGAATTAACATTTGTTGAGGGCAAACTATGGCCAGGCACTTTCATATCTTACTTCCACTGTACGAGGGGGATATTTTTATCATTCCTCCTGTTTCATCTGAGGAAGCTGAGCCTCACAGGGGTTAAGTAGGTTGTTCAAGGTCACATAAATGGTGAATGGCAAAGGTGGACTTCCAAACTCACTCTGTCTCCACAGTCCACTACACTATGGTGCCTGTAATCTAGCAGGAAAGACAGAAATGTACACAATGACCTATAACACAGACCAGAGACTGTGATAAACACTAAGAGAGAGGTATATGTGACTTGCTATAGGAGCATAGAGAATATAGATTATTCATTCTGCTGGTGTCTAGGTTACCTCTGGAAAGGCTTCACAGAGAAGCTGGCATTTGAACTAGGCCTTGAAGGTAAATACGGAAGAGCATTCTAGGTAGAGACAATGAGTTTCATGGGCTTTGGAGTTAGGATTTGGGCTTTGAGTCTAGGCTCTGCCACTTACCAGTTGTGGGAACTCTGGAAAATCATTTAAGCTTTGCTTGATTAAATGAAGATAATCATCATGAGGTTATTTTAAGTAGAATATGATTTCATACATGTAAACTGCTTAGCTTAGTATATAGCACATGGTCCGCACTCACTAAATTGGCTGTTGTGAATACTACAGCACAATAATATCTGAAGATGTGTATAAGAGCTTTAAGTTATTGAAGGATTCTCTTGGTTGCTTTTTGCACCACGGCCTCGTTTGAACAGAACTGTACTGTGCAGTACTGAGTAAACTCTGCCATCCTATACTCACAAGGCACAGTTTCAGTAACATTCTCTTTCCTGCTGGCTTGTTTTACTAGGACTCTTATCTTCTACTCTCAACAAATAGAATCTTCTTCTATACTGCATTGCAGGACCCACTTGACTTAATGTACAATTTGGCAGATATCACAGAATAATGTGTATGTTTGGGTTTAGCAAAAATATGTTTTACCCATTCACCACTTTGGTAGCACATATAGAGAGGGGTACACAGTGTGCCCTAGCCTAGTGGTTGAGAACCAACTGTACAGAGTAGACTACATTGGGGATGGGGGAGGGGAACAGGGGAAGGAAGAGAGTCAGGTTATGGTCAGGTTGGAAATGCCATACTGAAGGGTTTGATCTTGATCCTGCAGAAATGGAGAGCCATGGAAGAAAATGAAAGTAGGTGTATGGACTGAATTGTGTTCCCCTAAATTCCCCATGTTGAAGCCCTAACCCCCAGGGTAACTGCATTTGGAGATAGGGACTTTCGGGAGGTAATTAAGGTAAAAGGAGGTCATAAAGATGGGGCACTGATATGATAGGACTGGTATCCTTATAAGAAGAGGAAGAGACACCAGAGCTCTCTCCCTCTGCCTCGTGAGAACACAGTGAAAAATGTGGCCATCTACAAGCCAGGAAGAGAGGATTCATCAGAAACCAACTCCCATGACATCTTGATCTCAGACTTCCAGCCTCCAGAACTGTGAGAAAATACAATTTGGTTATTCAAGCCATCTAGTCTGTGGTGTCTTGTTACGGCAGCACTAGCCGACTAATACAGTAGGAGAGCAGCATAATTGGATTCAGGTTTTAGGAAGATAACTAGTGCAGTACGGAGGATTGCTTTGCATATTCTTTGTCTGGTCAACTCTATATATTCTTCGAAATTCAGCTCCTTTGGGAAGGGTTCTAGATTCCTTAAGGTTGATTTTCATGTCCTTCAATATGTTTCCATAGTATTATGTGCATACATCTATCATAATAATGTATCATAATTCTTGACTTTAATGGACTATGTCCCCCACCAGACTGTAAACTCCCTGAGATCAGGGACCACATCTTATCTGTACATTCTCAGCTCTAGTACAGTAGGTGGCACAGAGCAAGTTCTCATTAGCTGTGGAATTAATTAAGTAATTAATAAGTTAATAGAAGAACCTGCTGCAAGGAAACTAGTTCTAAGACTACTAATATAATAGCCCATTAGCAGAACATCCACCTCCAACTCATATCTTATTGTCTTAATTGTTTGACAAAAGATGATGAAAATTGATAATAGTTTGTCTTTAACCTTTCATTTCTAATCCCTTCCAAAAACAAAATTAAATGAAAATTAAACTCCAAAAGTGCTGAAGAAGTCAAATTTTTTTTGTGAGGAAGATTAGCCTTGAGCTAACATCCGATGCCAATCCTCCTCTTTTTGCTGAGCAAGATTGGCCCTGGGGAAACATCCGTGCCCATCTTCCTCTACTTTATATGGGATGCCTCCACAGCATGGCTCAACAAGCGATGTGCTGGTGCGCGCCCGGGATCGGGCCCGGGAACCCTGAGCTGTGGAAGTGGAGTGCGCACACCTAACCACTACACCACCGGGCCAGCCGCTAAAGAAGTGAATTTTTAATGATTTTTATCTCATTGAAAATTAGGCTCTCTCCCCCAATTAAGTCCTGGTATAAACATATAAGTATCTAATATCCTCAGGAGAGAAGAAAATGCTGACTATTTCTAATCACCTAATTTGTTTGGAGGAATCACCAATAGTCCACAAAGTGAATTACTGTGATCAGCAAACTCAAAGGCATTGTTCTGTAATTTATGTAGAATTCCCGATAAGACTGTCAGAGTTTGCCAATACGTCCAAAGATTGAAGATATTAGGCCAAAACGAATCCCCTATCTTTGCTTTTACAGCACAGGAACAGTTACAGGAATGGAATTTATCCATTAACCAAACAAAATGTTTCTATAAATCACTGTATTAATTGCTGAGTTAAAGGCTGTGCCTGTATCAGGAGAAGTAAACAAGAAATGCTGCCAAGAAGAGACACGTTCAGTTGTTCTGACAACAAACACCAATATGCTTAATTTCAGCCTTTAGTCAAAACGGTTCTAGATGACAGACTCATTCCTCTGGTCATTTAATTTTGATCTATTAAGGAGTCAATTCTGTTCGATTTTTCCTGTTCTTACAATATTTCTGTTTTTAGAACATCGTATTTGGTTTGGGGCCTTATTGAATGGAAAGTACGTGAATCCATGCTTCCCCATTTCCCTCTGATTCTATTGTTCCTATACATCTTTGGGCTTTTGCAGAGGCTGAGGATAGCCAAAGTCTGATAGAATTTATTAATCTTCAATTAAAATTCTAATAAACATTTTCCAGCTGCTCAAGTTGACACAGCAGAAGCAGAAAATTTCTATATATATATGTTAAAAGAAGAATAATTGGGATTATTTAGAAAATCTAATGAAAATAGATGACCTTCTGAAATACTGACCCACCTTTTGGAGATACTTTTCTTTTTCCTCAGATTCTTGAATCTTTAGGGTTTCAGCAATGACATCTGTATTCTCTAAGGGAAATAAAGTCAAATTCAGTCTGAAATAATTTGATCATGATTTTACAATAATGTTGATATAAAACTGAATAAAGATTAAACGGTAATAGAGTAGGAAGGTAAACACAAGTACGTACTATGTCTTGAAACTTTAAAAACCAGAATCAAAAATAATTGGAGACTGAATTAATTAGCTGTGGCTTCAGGGAACCTCTAGTCTCTTTAGAAGAGGGGTGAGCCTGAGTCCAGACACAAGAAAAGGTCTCTAAAGATAACATATTTGCAGTATCAGAGATTCCAATTTCTACATTCCTATTCAATTTAGGAATTTTCCTCTGGAGAAACAGGGTGGTCCCTGAGAAGGGGGTCTCATTGGCATGCAATTCAGAAAGTTATGCCAAAGTGTAAAGTTGCTGGCTTATACTTATCACCTATTTTCTGAAGCATCTAGGAATCAGGATGTTGAAAGGCATAAAACTTGGTACTTACTGTCTTTCTCAAGGAAAAAAGGCTGCAAGTAATTTTTCCCTAAAAAATATAAAAGGGAAGTAAAGAAATCATAAGCTTTCTACACCTATAAAAATTGCATAACAACAGTTTCCACATCTTTGGCTTTACTAAGGTCTTACAGGTCAGGGAACTTGGTTCCTAATGGTGACTCTGCCTTCAACTTTCTGCCGGGCTTCCATGTTTGGCCTCAATTATGTAAACAACTACCTTTAATATCCTTTCAGCCAACACATAACATTTTCCCAGATTATTCTGTACTGTTTAGCAAATAAATGCCATAATCTAAGGGATACTTTAAAATGTATGTTTAGATGTAACAGAGATACCACTGATCCTCTTTGGGTGGAACGACTGCTGAGAAGGTTTAAGAACCATTTGTATAGGGTTTTAGACATTTGTAATGAAAGATTTTCATTTTAGAATTAGGTTCGCAGTTTCTGCTGGAGGGGCTCTGGTATCTTCCAGGTTAGTTATGGTGGAGGTAGAAATCATCCATAGGAGGCAGCTACTCACCGAGCCCACTGCTCTTAGAGGACCCCGCCACGGGCAGACGCTGACTGCTGCCTCTGGACAGCACCAACTGAGATTCGTTAGGAGGATACATTGACGCCGCGATCCAGAACTGCTTGGCCAAGTTGGCATCCTGTTCAGAAGAGCCGGTGAACACCAGTAATCCCTGGGGACAAGTTTCAGGGGACTCTTTTCGGCTGCTAGGACCGCCGCTGGGCCTCGTTTCCATGGCAACTCAGGACGCTTCTCCAAGCTCCCTCTCCCGTCTCCCAGCCCCGCCCTTTGGTGAACCGCCAAGTTGGCAACAGCCTCGGCTGGAAGCCCTTAGCTTCGTCGGTGGACGTTGGAGTCCAGCACGCGCTTGCTGGACATCTGAAGCCCTCTTCTGCAGTGATCACCGGCTTCCGGACCAGTCCAAGCCTTGGAGTCGAGATAGGAGAGTCAAAACATGAACTTTGGGGCGTGTCCTGTCCTGTTGGAGTCAGTGGGGGAGCAATTCAGCTCTCAGATCCTGTCAGCCTTCTACACGCCTTCCTCACCTCCCAGCTTCCACCCCCGCAAAAGATATCTAAATAAAGCTTTCAATTCCCCAGCTCCACCACCCCAATCCCTCTTTCCACACCAGATTGCCCAGTAGCTCAGCATTGCCTATGTGGAAGTTGTGGGTCTGCACTGGTTGGAGAGCAGCTAACATCCTAGCCTATGGGAACTAGAGGTCTGGACTGGTCAGGTAGGTATCCATGTATATAGTTTTTGTTATACATTTCCCCCCTGAATCCTTTAAGACAAATTTTAGGAAAGAAGCTGGATTAAATTGTAACTACATTTACTAATCAGTCCCACTAAAAGCTGCCTGGACTGCAACAGTTGTAAATGATTACTTCACAGAAGGAATATATCTGATGAGTAGACTCAGTCCCCTTATAAAAAATAAAACACAAAAAATTTTGTTAATGTATTCTTATAAAAATATTAACGAGTGCTTGTGAATTGCTTTCCCAGGAGATTTTGTTAATCCAGGAACAATTTAACCATTTCAGTGATAGGAAATTCGTAATTACTGTGGCAGGAATTGAGAAGGAAATCAGAAAGCCAACTTAGGAAAGGAAATGGACACATGGTAATGACCACAATTTATGACGTTATGGCACTTTATTCTTTCAAAATATTAATAGTCTCACAGAAACATAGTTCAAAAATTGATAATCACAAGTCTATACAATGACGTAGATCAGCTAAAGAAAAAAACCCTATTCCCAATACATCTGAAATTTTTTTTGGTTAAGACCCTGAAGGAATATTGAAAAATTATATATTAAAAAAATATACTTATTATATACTGTCGTATATTTAGCAGCTAAAATGTTGATTTCTTTCTTGGCTGAGCTATTGATAAGCAGGCAATGGGTAATAGGGTATTCCAATCCCCCCCCCATTGATATGCACAGACAGCTCATTTGGATGAACTCCCAAATCTTTTTACCTGGCCGTGTGGTTAGTGATTGGTACTATTAGCAATCAGCTAACTACACTGCCTGGTAACTAGACTCACAGAAAAAAAGGTTTACTTTCATCACAAACTTGTCTCAAGTTGGTGCCCCCATGCGTTGTGATAGGCAAATCATTGGTTGTTCTAACACTTTAGTTGGTGGGTTGGTGAATACCCTACCTAAGAATGAAAAAGGCACAATGAATCACAGTATACAGCATTAAACGTTACATAGGGGTCTTCTCTCAGCAATTTAAATGTCTTCATATCTTACAATTAAAGCTATTAAACGCCACAGATTTCGCCTTCCTTACAAGGGATTGCCCGATCTTGCTTTTAGTCCTGGAGATAGCTAACAGTTTAACTCTCTCGAGAAGCAGCAGCCCGCCTGAGTCTGCAGGGGTTTGCTCGCGCTGTGACAACGTGCCCGCCGCGCCGCGCTCCGAGGAACACATGCTGACGCCTCAGATCTCGAAGCGCGGCGGCTTTCTCCTCAGACGTTTCAGGTCGGCCGTTCGCCGCCGAGGGTGGCGTCCTCCTCCCGGCGGGCGGCGGGTGATGCTGTGCCTTGTTTTGATGGCAGTGGAGTTAGTGATTGTAAGCACTAGAGTACAATCAGCTAATTACACTGCCTACAAACCGAGCACCGGGCGCCGGCGGGCTGCAGCTCCTGGACGGTCCGCAGCGCCGACGAGGTGTCCCCGAGCGGGCGGGCCGCGCCTCGGCCCCACATTTCACCCGAGGCGACGCTCGACAGTGCCTGGGCGCGAGACCCAGGGCGAGGGTCCCCCTAGGACGCCCTCGGACCCACTGGGGACCCTCGCCCGGCCCGCGGGCTGCGCTGGCCCACGCCGGACTCGCCGCGCACACTTGGCGTGGCACAGCCAGCGGGCGGCGCTGCAGAGGGGACCTGCACCCCCAGGGCCGGGCCCCCGCACACTAGGTGACTCCCGGGAGCGCCCGGCCGGCTGGCTTCACCTCCCCTGCCCCGCGATCTCCCGCACCTCCCAGAGCCCTCCCCCTCAGGTCCCCTTCCCCTTTCCTTTCCCCTTTGCTTTCTCGGGCGCGGCTCCCACCTCCCTCACTCCGGTACCACCCGCCCCCAGAAAACTTCTCTTCAGTTCCCAGCCCAAACCCTAGAGCCGGCTCTCTCCACCGGGTGCGCCCCGCAGCTCCGAATGGCCGAGTGACCGTGGCCGTGGCGGGCCAACCGCCCTTGGAACCCCGCGGGCAGAGGGGGCGGGGCGGGCGCGAGACGGGGTGGATGGGGGAGGGG